CAAATCATTATGTTCTAATGGATTTACATTAGACCCTAAATAGCTGCATTACAATTCCTTTCAAATAATTTACAAAGGAAGTGTGGCTTTTCCAATTTTACTATTTCCTATAAGCAGAAAATTGACTGTGGTTGCCTCCTGTATTCATCAACCTTACCAAAGCTTCATTATATCAGAGCCATAGATGAGGAATCGTTCATCATTGATAACATTTCAAATATTAGATTCTCTCTTCTATGAGTATACCCTTAATCATGAATCATGTGCCAACTTCAGAATATGATCGTCTGTATAAAAATCAATAAAACAGAAACAATACCATATGGATGTTTTATTAAAAATAGTACCAAAATCCAAGGAATCAAATTTTGCTAGTTTGTAAGAATGCATGCAGTCTGAAAAAGGGACACTAGAATACATGTCTGTAATTACAGCACTCAGGAGAAGGATTGTATATACATCTATAATCCCAGCATTCAAGAAGAAGGTTGACACCAAGCTGGTATACACAGGGAGTTCCAGGCCAGTAGGGCTATATACCAGTCCTCCAAAATGTGTTGTTAGGTATATATCGGGGACATGGTATACCCATTTCTCAAATGTCTTTACATTCCCTGTAAGGTGGCTCTGTGAGTAAAGAACTTACCATTCAGCCAGGTGACCTAAGCTTAAGCCACAGAACCTAGACGGTGGGAGGAGAGAAATGACTACTGCAATGTGTCCTCTAACGTCCACACATGCATTCTGTCATAGGTGCCCACACACATACACAGTGCATACATGAACACAAAATAAAATAAGATGAAATATTCTTCAAATTGTATACTTGTCTTCCCTGTTTACAAACTGTACCTTAATTAACAATTAGACTAACACAGCTACATAAGAAAAAGAAAGAAAGAAAGAAAGAAAGAAAGAAAGAAAGAAAGAAAGAAAGGAAGGAAGGAAGGAAAGAAAGAAAGAAGAATTGGTGTTTGCTATTGGTTCATAGTAATTTTAAACCTTTTTTATGCTGTTACTTCAACTTCCATTTGATCACAGGCTCTGGTCCTCAGGGACTGTGTGAAGAAGCAATTGAACTGATGCTGTCTGGTCTTTTCACACACCTTGTCCCTCAGCACTAGGGTTCAAAATAGGTTCCAAAGGGCACATCCATATCAAGAAGAGTGTATGAAAGTCTTAGCTTTTTTGTGGCTAAAAGGCTTTTTCTTTTCTTCTCTCACCAGGGAAAATGTCTGCCTTGAGCAAGCCCCCCATGGCAAACTTCTTTGAAGAACAAATTCTGAAGTACATTCAGCCTTGTCTCCAGTTCCTTCTAGCTCAAGCATTTAAAGGAGGTGTTGGGGCATCACCAACCACTGCCTTTCTAGGAGATTATCTTAGCCTACATGATGGCACAGACAGATCCCCCAGCAGACTTTGTGTCTTCTTGAAAGTGACTCTATAAAAAGATTGTGCGTGAAAGGTCTCTCCCAGGATAAATCTTTCAAAAACACAAAATTTTTTCAACGCTCAAAGTCGTCATAAAGTTCTCCTTAAACTTTGGTACCTTTCATTCAATATGCAAATGAAATCTTCACAGAACTAGTAAATTCATTCATAAGTTAATACGAGGTATTTTTTATAATAATGCAAAAAAAAAGCAGCACCTATAGCAGTACACCTCAATCCACCAATGAGACAGTGAGAAGAACCCACAGGGGAGACAGGGAGAAAACAGAGTGCAGTTGGCTGAGATTTGTTCCTTCCAAGTAAATTCCAACACTCAGATGGCTTTCCTTTACCATAATCTCCTTTTAATTTGAAGTTTTCAATAAATGCTCTGCTGTTTAACAATAATTCCCAGATTATTGAAGCACAAGCCCAGACAAAGCTTCAGTCATGGACACTAATCTTTCCCTTTACATATTTGAGCATTGAACAAATTTTGTGTTTATGAAAGATTAATTCTGGGAGAGAACTTCCATGTGGAATCTTTTTATAGAATCACTTTCAAGAAGATACTTACAAAGTCTTCTGGGGAATCTGTCTGTGCCGTCACGTAGGCTAAGATAACCTCCCAGAAAGGCAGTGGTGGGAAACCCAGATTTATCTTCTTGTGACTAGAGGATGGTCATTCATGAAGATCAAAGACTTAATCTTTATGTTTTACCATTTCCCTTACATAATAAGGTTAAATATTTCAAGATAAATTTCAATGAAATGTCACCAATTGTATTAGTTAGTTTTCATTCTGGTTATGAAACACCATAGCCAAGAGTGACTTATGGAAGGAAGAGTTGATTTTTGCCTATGTTTTCAAAAGGAAAGTCCATCATAGAGGGAAAAGGTACGGCTACATGTAGGCAAGTTCGCTGGAACTAGAAGCTGAGCGATCACATAGTCAGTCAAACACATAAAGCAAGGAGATCAAACTGGAGACTACAAAAGCTCAAAGCCTTTCCCTTTATGGCATGTTTCCTCCAGCAAATTAAAGTTCCTGGAGCCTGCCCACAGTGCCACTAACCTGAGACTAAGTGTTCAAACGCGTGAGCCTGTGGGGACATTCCTCATTCAAATCACCACACCTATGTTTAAAAGGCTCTTCTATCAAAATGAAATTAAAAATATCTATCTGATGTGTATGTAATTAAGTTAAACAAAATAGTTAACGAAATCAGTTTACATAGTGGGGAGGACATAGACTCAAAAGCCTGGCCTAAATCTATAATGTGACTCAAAGTGAATTCTTCAGACTCACATCCACTACATAGAAAGCCATGAAGAATAATGTCAGTACTGCTGTAAGCTAGTAAATGAGAGCCTGGGAAGGAAGTGCCTATTTGGGTAATAGTTCCTATAGCCAATGGGTAGTTCATATGCCCATTATATTGGAATTCAGAGTACAACTGAGAAAAACATTACACTGAGCTTAAAATTATTTGGCTTTGTTCTTGACCACTATGCTGGAACTGATAAATTAAAATTGAGTAGTTTTAAATCAGTGTAATCATCAACCTATTTATAAAAAAAAACTTATTTTTTGAGCTCAACTTGCGGAAGGCAGTATGGTGATGTAGAGGGAACAGCATTTAGTCACTGGCCTAATACAGAGGGAAGACAGGATTCATCAGTCACTGGCTCCATACAGAAGGAATACAGCATTCAGTCACTGGCCCAATACAGAGGGAATACAGCATTCATTCAATCACAACTGATACAGAGGAAATACAGCACTCATTCAGTCCCTGGCCTGGTACAGTTATCTCCCATGGACTTGTCAGTGACCCACACTAACCTCTTTATGGTTATTCTACATTCACTTCTTTTGTGGTGACAAAACACCCTGATCATAAGCACCTTGGGGAAGAAAAGGGTTATTCGACTTTCAAATTCCAGGCTGCAGGCCATCCATCGCTGAGGGCAAGTCAAGGCAGGATCTCAGGAAGCTAAGCACATCACACTCACATATCACAAGCAGAGCGATGTTAATCCGTGTGCAGGGTGCTTGCTGCTTCTGCTTCACCAGCTTTCTTCTGTACAGTTCGGAGTTCAGCTCAGGAAACAGGTGTCCCACGTTCTGAGTGGGTTGTCCCACCTTAACAAACATTAAGGTGACACACACACATCCCTAGAAAATGTCACAGGCAGGGTCTTGCTCAGGGTCTCCTCTCTAAGTAATTTTAAGTTGTGGCGAATTGACATTTGAAGTGTCCAGGACAACGGCCAAATATGAAATCACGGTTAGTAGTCTAAAAAGTGCTCAAAAACCAGGGCGGAGGCACACCTCAGTGGGACTAGCAGGGACTTTCCCATTGCGCGAAGGTCGCACTAACAGAGATGCTGAGGAAGAGCAAGGAAGAGGAGAAAAGGTCTCCCGGAAGCCCTGTGAGTGAAAGGGATGAAGACTTGTCAAAAGGACAGGTTCAAAACTGCCCTTGGTGGAGCAAGCCCATCCTTACTGCAGCACACATAGAATTCCTTATTACACAACACCGTTTGTTGGCACGCAAGTCCACGTGAAGCAGTTTGATGCTGACCTTGTCTTCACTGAGGCAGGAGGGTAAAAATTGTCCTCAAAATAGCCAGATTTGGAATTGCCCCTCATGCCCAGGCCATAGTTCACACTCCTTAGACTTCACTTTTACGTGTACACATTTAAAAGGTCACCTTTTAAAATACGCATGCGCGTTCTGCTTCCGGCTTCATGGAAAACATTTGATAGGCACCAACAATCTAAGATGCAACTCCTAGTTGTACAATGAACTAGCTGGGAGACCAAAAAAAGGGGTCACTAGCATGATTTCTCCTGCAGGCACAGCAGGATCTTGCTGACAGCAGAATAATGCACCCCACCCACCGCTCTGCCCAACTGAAGCTCCCCAGCGTTTCCTTCTCTACCATAAAGGGAGAAGTCAAGAATGACAGGGAGAGTCCTTTTCATTGCTCTGTCTGATAAAATAAGCATCAGGCTTCCTGCTTATTTTCCTGTCTTCTGTCTCAGGTCCCTTTTAGGCACAGTAGAAAGATCCTTGGGGATGGTGCTTCAGTACACAGGAAGAAAGAGCTACACAGCACACAGTGATGGAGGCCCTTGGTTCTTCGTGTGGGCAGTCCCTCTGCCTAAGAAGAAAGCATCCCGCCTGCATGTTGATTTGAAAGTTAAAGGAGAGAGAGAGAGAGAGAGAAAGAGAGAGAGAGAGAGAGAGAGAGAGAGAGAGAGAGAGAGAACTCCCCCCAAACCAACCAGATTTCAGGAATCACTACATTCGTGTGAACAGTCAGAGTATTCAAAGTCCAGGTTGATACAGAACCTTCTCCTAGTCTCCAGTTCCCAGGTTGTCATGGAATATGTTAGGTTCTTCGTTGAGTGAGAAATAAACAGCTTTATGTGCGACACAACTCTGAACTAGAACTGCCCCTCCCAGCGGTCAGCTGGGGCTGATACTGTCCAGGCATCGCCCAAGGGAAAAGGTTGTGGCAAGGTCGCTCAGAAAACGCGGGAGGAGTCTGGCGTTGATTGATGCTGGGAAGGGACCGAATGAATAAAAGTACTTGTCTGGGGACAGCAAAGACCCCGAGCGAGCTGTTGAGGATCCGCTGTCTGGCAGTCTCTCAGTCTTTTGTGAGAGCCAGAGCTGCATTCAGTTGAGAGAGGCCTGCTTAGGAGCAGCTGGACTCCTGCTGCGAGCCGCAAGTCCCCTAAGGCAGTTGACGTCCTGGGAAGGAGGTTCCCTGCTAGTGGCGCTGCTCCTGGTGCTTCCAAACCGTGCGAGGTAACTAACCATTCTGGTTTAACTTTGAATTAACATCTGTAGCTGAACCTTGCTCTGGGGCTTCCGCTTTGCTTAGTAGTTCGGGGTTTTCTTTTAAACGAGTAAAACTTACACATAACAGCGATTTAAGCCGAGATTGGGTTGTAAAGCGAATGCTTGAAGTCACTTGGAAAGCACAGAAGTTGGTGCTGATCTGTTATTCTCTCGGTTCTTGGCTGAGTGCATCGACGTATGCCCTTGGCCGCTAGGTGCCTTCATTCCGGGTCCCCAAGCTTAGCTAAAATTGGGCTTGCTTCTTCCCGGCAAACACGAGTGCTCTTTCCCTGGGACACCCACCCTCCCCAGTCTGGAACACTCCTGCCCAAATGCTCCACCCCTCTGCGACTGGTCTACCGCAGGGCTGGGGATTAAAACAAGGCGAGCAGGGTCAGGAAGGAGACTGAACGCAGACCAGCGGGGGGCGTGCGCCCAAATTCCTCATTGGCGCGCAAACTTAACTTACTGTTACGGCGCGGATAGAGGCAACCCGGCTAGTGTGAGTGTTTTCAGAGGCGTGGCTGGGGTAGCTGACTAAAGTGCCCTGTCTTCATTCCCCTGTCGGTCTCCAGACTGAAAACAGCGGAGCGGCTACTGGAGTCTCACAGGAGGAGCAAGCTGTAACATGCAATCGCCCGCAAGCCCGCACGGACGCGCCTTGGTGGCGCTGCTGCTGGCCTGTGGCTTGTTGGGGGTATGGGGAGAGAAAAGAGCATTCCCACCTGCCCAAGCCACACCGTCTCTTCTCGGGACTAAAGAGTTAATGACGCCACCCACTAAGACCTCCTGGACTAGAGGTTCCAACTCCAGTCTGATGCGTTCCTCAGCACCTGCGGAGGTGACCAAGGGAGGGAGGGTGGCTGGAGCCCCGTCAAGATCTTTCCCTCCTCCGTGCCAACGAAGTATTGAGATCAGCAAGACTTTTAAATACATCAACACGATTGTGTCCTGCCTGGTGTTCGTGCTAGGCATCATCGGGAACTCCACACTGCTAAGGATCATCTACAAGAACAAGTGCATGCGAAATGGTCCCAATATCTTGATCGCCAGCCTGGCTCTGGGAGACCTACTCCACATCATCATTGACATTCCCATTAACACCTACAAGGTACTGTACCCCATAATGGTCTGATGGTCTGGAGACCGGGGATGGGGGTGGTAAATAGAGTGGTAAAGCTGCAATCTTTAAAGTATTAGGGGGTGGGGAGACACTTCCTCAAGGAGACTGCTCCTCTCCCAATAGTGATGGTTGAATGAGATTTTCTGGGTTTTCTTAGCTTCTGACAAGTGTAGCTTTCTAAGCAGTGACATCGTTACTATTGGAGATCTGTCAGGAAAGAATTCAGATTCCCCAATTCAGGGTCACCGAATCAGAAGCTCTGGAGACGATGACAGCAGCGAGACATTTTAAAAATCCTTTCTCTGTAACTATGATAACATTTAACAGTTGGGAATCACAAGCCCGGAAGTCATTCTTTCTGGGGACGACCTCTTAAAAGTATGGTCCCCCAAACTGCGATCATGAATACTGTCTGGGAGTTTGTTAGGCATGCAAATCTACCCCAAACAGATTTTGCATCTTAAGTGTACATATGATTCATAGGAAGATAACCTTAGAAAGCATGGTTTTCAGGACCCAGAAAGCCTTTCAGTAAGATTTTAGGAAACAATTGGTTTGGGCTAAAGGGGCCCAGAATGGTAAGTAAAATATAATTCCTTGATGCGAAGGGCCTTTGATAATCTTCGTGGAATTAATGTGCTGGCCCAAGTGTCAGGTTAGATGTGTTACTTCCTTTATCCATTCCAGCTACCCACAAGTTGCTATTTCTTGCCATTTTACACATGATCCATAGGATGTTCAAGGGCCTTCCAAGGAGAGCGGGCTCCAGTATGCCAGATTCCCAGATGTTAGCTTTGTGACATTATCTCTGATACTTCATGGTAATGCACAAGACATGGACAAGACAGTGGACAACTCTGTAATAAAGTCTGTAAAATTGTCAGTAATTAACATTATGGTGATTTTCATAGCCATCAGAAGAAAGAGGCTCAAAGAACAAGGCAAGACATGAACATCCACACTATTGACTCCAGGTGGTTTTGGAAGTCCGTAACATCCGGTACCTGTGGGTCTCATTCTCTTCCATTTCCCAATGAAGCTTCTAGTGCCCACCTATGGGGAGTTTGTGATGTTAATAAAAACAGACCGAATAAAAGGACCAGAAATGTTTAGAGTTGTGCAAGTATGTAGCACTGCTCCCCACTGTCATCAATAGAAACTCACACATAAACACAATGCAGGTGTAAAGGAATGAGAGAGTACTTTGTGCACTTGCCAAGGACCAACCCAAGCCTCTGTGTGCAAGGAGCTAAACGAGTTAGGATGGGGAAAGTCTCTACAACTGTGAGTGGTTACCGTAAGGCAGCCCCTGAGATTGGTCTTCATTGGTCCCTGGGAATCCTGACCCCACTAGCCACATTTTAAGGGAATTCCAGACATTTCTGAGACTTGGAGATGGGACATAGATTAGAATCCAGACCCTAGAGAGAAGCACTACCTGAAATACAAAGGAGAAATGCTGAAAGTCTGGGACAGCCAGTGATTGCCTTTGATGGCCTCTGAGAATTTGCCTGGAGACACAGAGGCTGAGAAGTTCTTTGCTTGTGATCACAACTCTGGTAGGATCAGAGGTGACCCACTTCTATAGAGTGGCAAGATAGATCTTTCTTTCTGTGGTGGCCAACTGAAGCATTCCAGTTCAGCTCTTCCAAACTGAACCGGGAAGCTTTACAGTAGAAATTTTTAAATAACTGAATCAAGATTACTTTCCAAAGAGACGCTTATAATCTACCTTTGCTAGGTATGCACAGAAAGTCCACGGAATTCTCTTTGGGGCAGGCTTCATTGACCTACACATTTAACCAAGTTAGAAACTCCTTACATCAGCCAGCCATTGAACTGTTGAGTGAAAGGTGGCTTAGAACTTTCTTTTCATCTTGTGTTCCCACTAGACCTGATATAAATTGACTCTTCCAGGACTATAATACTTTCTGCCTGGCCAAACGATTATTTTGGTAAAAAGGAGAATATATGACTGAGTGGTGCAGGTTTCCTTTCAAGTTCCTCTATTAATTCCCTAGGAAGTTATATCCTTTACCCTAAAGCTATCCAATGTACTAAAGCTTACTCCTAGAACAAACTCATGAGTCACTAAACTTAGTCATCTAAATCTGTCTAAATAAAACTCAAGTCATCAACTTAGGTCCCACAGTTGTATTGAGTGTCAACATGAACTCCTACAAATCCTCCAGTGTTGCCTTGAGTTTGGTTTGATGCTGTAACAGTGGCCTCTGTTTATGAGGCATGATGAACTCATTCTATTTCATTAAATTATTCAGATAACGTTACACAGAATGTATAGCTCTCTTCCCTGATTTAAGTCACTGAGGAAGTGAAGAAGTTATTTGCCCAATATCATAGCATTGGAAAGTGGTTCCTCTTGACTTGAACCCAGCTTTTCTGGCCCTAGCACTGGTAACCTTCCTTATCACACTACATCAAGAATGCTAAGGCACAGCGTTCCCTTCTCCAGTCTGAGCTTCATCAGGATCTCAGCTTGAGTACATGGATAAAATTGTGACTCATGGTAACACACTAAATAAAGACACAGGGTAAACCTTTTCAGAATTCATCTGAAATGTCAGATTTGCAACCTGGAAGTCCTCTTTGGATAGTCTAGATCATACAATACAGTGGATGCTATTCTGAAGACTATTTACCATAACACCTAAGACGAGTTAAAAGTCATTTTATTCCCCTAAATAACTGTACCTGTATATAACGTTTACAAATACATTTTTAGAGTTTTAGAGCATTGGGCATTTATAATTGTAGAAGAATAATTTTAGTGAGTTATGAATGGTTTTGTAAATGTCTTCTAAAGTGATAGCTTTGAATTGCTTTGAATTTTTGACAGCCTGCTACACCCCTCTGGAATCAGACTCCATCATCACTTCTATTACTATGCCCTAGAAGCTCAGAAGCATCCTCTTGAATCTACTACATTCATCTGAAGGTCAATTATATAGAATTCAGTAATGCTGACAAATCACAGAATGTCATAGCTGGTGTCAGTCCTTAAAGTTGCTCTAAAATATGTGCAGAGTTTCGCATAAAGGAGCTGACTGCCTTATGAAATCTGCCCGCCCTGCCTCGCCCTGCCCCACCCCTCCCCACCCTGGCCCACCCTCCTCTCCCCTGCCATGCTTCTTTTCAGGATCTGGGTCTCTAAAAACTTTTAGTTGGAGCCATTCTTCGGTGTCCTCCATCAAGAAGACCCTGTATTGAAGGTCAGGGAAGAGTCTCAGGACATCAAGCAAGTTGCAGATACTAAACACTTCAAACACTCATGTAAATTACGTGTGAAACAAGAAGCCCTTTGAACCCTTCACATTGGGATGCATGGGTTATGCTTACATAAAACAGCTGAAAACGGGGAAAATCCAATCATCCACAGTGTGTATTTTTAAAATGACACACAGATACAATACCAAATGTTACATGAATTTGTAGATAAGTAGGTAGACATATAACATCTGGTCCTGGTCTTAGTGCATAGTAAGCAAACAAAAAAAGCTATCAGAATGTTTGCATTTCTATGTTAAAATAGGAAGGGAAGTTGATGTTTGGAGTGTTCTTCCTTTTCAGCTTTTGTCATTACAAACACGACTACAAACATCCTAACACATACATACAAGTTTGCACACATGTGTATGTCTAACTAGTTCTAAAGGATAAATCTCTAAAACCTTGGTTGCTAAGTCAAAAAGTGTATATACTTGGCAGTATATATAAATAATGTCACGTTATATTATTACTGTACTCTTGGCTCTGATCACTACCTTCACTATATCTCCAGGCAATTATTGTGTCTTAACATCTGTGAAATGTTCTTGAGTCACCAGGTCCATGATGATGCGGTGTGTACGTACACTGAACTAAAAGATACTATTCAAATCCCCAATATAAGGCTTAGTCTGTCCTTTTCACAAGCTATGTATTATATACTTCCTACTTATAAAATGATGGAGGTATCAACTGTGTAGCAAATAAAACCCAGTGTCTGACTACTGAGCTGTGGTATCCCAGACATCAAAGATAGGTAGAGCAGTTGAGAGTATGTCTGGACACTAAGGTGCTTTAGTATTACTGGTTGTCTGGATCATTACTTTGACTTGGTTCAGCTTAACAGTGGTATTTTTAAAAGACTGAAGACTGGCTGGGGATAAATTTTAAGTCCTTGAGAAAATAATGAGCTTTTGAATTAATTGTTTTACTTGAAAATACAATTCTCCTTTATGCTGGACTTATAAGAATACCTGAGTATGTATAGTTCTCAAATAATAGCTTCCTTTTTGTGTAACCAAGTTGAACTTCATAAGACCAGGTTGTAAACTGGAAGGTAGATTGGATTTCTACATTAACTATTGTGATAAGGATCTAAATGTAGTCCATGTGCACTCTGGTCAAGAGCTGAAACTTTACCGAGGGAAACACCGGGATGCTGTTATGTGGCGTTGCTATTAAGACTTTGTATGCCACCAAAGAGAACTATAGGTGCATAGTCCTGACAGGCAACATTCCTGATCTTTAACATTTAACCAGTTAAGTTGGAACACACTTAGCATTAAAATGCTGGCATGTCAAAATGTAGGAGTACTTCACTGAGCTCAAAAATTACTTTTGAAAGAGATGACCTTGGCATGTAGGCAGGCACTTTCTGTTTGTGACATTATCAGTTGTCATGATGGACAAGCTTACTTTTCCCACTACCCCACATAGATCCCTTTCGGATCTTGACAGCTTGGAGTAAAAATAACTAATTAGCAAAGTAAATATTGAGGGACCAGCATCAGAGTTACCTCTTGAGGTGACAGTTTTCCTCTCAGTGAAGCTTAGGTGTGTATACACACACAGACACACACATATCAGAGAGAGAGAGAGAGAGAGAGAGAGAGAGAGAGAGCGCAATACAAGACTACAAGAGCAGTCAGCATCACTGGCAGGGAAGTATCATCTTCCAAATTTAGCAACAGTACTCTCATTAC